CCCCCGCAGGGGGCCAGCCGCGGGGCATCGGGCCTGTCCCGCGCCCGAGCCCCCCTGTGGCTTTGCAAAGCCTCGGGGAAGCCGGCAGCAGAGCAGCCCAGGCGCGCCTGGGCTGCCTCGCTGCCCGAGCCCCTCCGCAGCTTTGCTCCGCGTCTTCCTGGTCTGCAGACCAGGGAGACGCAGAGAAAGCCCCGGAGTACACGGGCGGCAGGATCGCGAGGTCCCGCAGTCCGTGTCCTCCGGGGAGCCCCGTTCGTAACTGCGGATCCAACATAAGTCGGATCCGCGTAAGTCGGGGACTGCCTGGACTTAATTCGAACTAGGTGTTAGTCCTCGTAGAATGAGGTTTACCTAGTTCGAATTAAGCGCTCCACTAGTTCGACTTAAGTTTGAACTAGCGGTTTGCATGTGTAGCGCCTATGAAAGTTAATTTGAACTAACAGCTGTTAGTTTGAATTAACTTTGTAGTGTCGACAGACCCTAAGAGCCCAGTGAGCAGAGGAAGTGTTGGTAATGCTGCTAGAAAATATTGACCTCCCGTGGTCTGGCAAACTCTCTGCTTCAGTGCCAATCAGAGGAGCAAGCTTTGCTGGCACGCTGGGGCCTTTTGCTGATGTTAAAACACCCAAGGGGACCAGTGCTTTCCTCCACACCTGCCTCTCTCACCCTCTTCTCTTCTGCCCCGTCCCTCTCACTCTCCTTCCTCCCTCCCTTCCTGTTTCTTTCCATGCCGCTGATCCCCTCCTGACCTGAGCTAAACCTGCCCTTAAGAAGTGAAACGTGGCATTGGCTGCTGCCACCCCCGTGTTTGCTCTGACTGTGTGTTGTGGCCCTTCCCCTGCCCTATTTGTCTTGGGTGCTCCGCTTGTAAGCGCCTTCGGGCAGGGAATGGGGACTAAGCCACTGGGGCCTATCTCTTGGCTGGTGCTTAGGGCATGACCGTAGTCAGCATGATTCTGTACAACAGTGGTCCCTGGGGTTGCCAGATGGTCTCCCAAAAAATACCGAACACGCGGGCTAAAAATGTGTCGAGCAAAACACAAAACAAAACAAACAAACAAAACAAAAAACTGCCACAAACACACATGCTATGTTTAATACTTAACTTCATTAAAAACAGTCTTCATCCTGCACATCTCTATGTAAAGAGAATTAGAAGTAATGGTGCAAATGTGCATGCAATTTTCATTGTTGTCTATTCCTCTAAAGCTAAGGCTATAGAAGAATTTAGAAGAACTCCTTTTTATCCTGCAGCTGAAATGACTGTAGAGAACTCCCAGCGCCGATCGCGCCCCGCCTCCCAGCCACTCCTCCGCCCCTGCTAGGCTTCTGGGCTTCTGACCCGCCCAGAGCGGTGATCACGGCCCTGCCTGCCAGCTGGGACTCCCAGCCACTCCCCCCAGGCTTCTGTGCAATCACAGGCTCCTAATGCGCCGGACCGCGCATGCGCGAAGTGCGGCTCGTGCCTTTTCGCGCCGTTTGAGCAGCGCTGGTCCGGCCCCCGCCAGGCTTCCCTCCGGTGCGCAGCCGGAAAAATCAGAAAATACCGGACATTGCACATTGCACGTCTCCGGGATTCTCTGATTTTTTTTACTGGACAGAGAGCGCAAATACCGGACGGCCCGGTAGAATACCGGACACCTGGCAACCCTAGTGGTCTCAACCAGCATGTCTAGAAACCCACCTCCCTCAGACAAACATCAGCCAGCTAGACTATCCGCAGACACCCTGGGATCACCAATTCAGCCCCTCACCCAGAGCCTCATAAACCCAGCACACACAAAAGTACAGCAGCCGGGCGAACTGGGCACAGTCGCTGGGAAGAACAGACCTGGGAATAATCGGGGGTTGGGTTGTTCCTCGCTTCTTGCTGGCCACGTGGACTAAACCGGCCTGTCGGAAGGTTTGGCGGGAGGAGGGAGCTGTCATCCAGCAGCTCAGGTTTTCCATGGGGGTGGTACCAGGGCCAAGCTCAGAAGATTGTGGCATTATCAGCACCAGGACCAGGGCTTGAATCTCGCTCCGTGCCAAGAGCCACGCCTCCCGCAGTCCTGCCTCCAGCTAGAGCAGGTTTCCTTTGGGGTCGGTTTCTGTTTCGCGTTTTAAGCGGCAGCTTGTCAGCAAAGCGTGAGAATGCAACATACTGATGCTGCCTTTCTCCTGCTCTGCTCCTCCTGTGCAGCACGGAGCTGGCACGGCTGCACCAAATCAGTGTAGGGCCCTGCTTAGGCAGCTCGCTTGCAATCAGTGTCATGTATTATACATGCTGCTGCCTCCCCGCTGCACCGCGACCTACTTCTTTAGCAGGGAAAATGAGGTCAGTGCCTGGCACTAGCCTGGGAGCCATCTGCAGGTGAAGGGCGGGGAATACATCGGGCTGCAGGCAGCTGTGTCGACAAAGGGCTTTGGGATAGTGCTGCTGCTCCTGGGCGGCTGCCACCCGTTTCCTGTCTCCCCTTTGTGCCCCCTCGTAAGGCCCCGGGATTCCTGGGGCAGGTGGGGAACGCTCCGAGCTCTGGGGCTGGTAAATGCGGGTGCACACGTATCTCGGCCTTCGGAAGTGCAGCAATGGGGGCCAGGCCCCGGCAGTGGCGACTTTGGCCCGCTGCAGAGGAAAAGATCCGCGGTACATAGCGAGCTGGGACTGATGTTGCAAACCCAGTTACCTGCATGCTCGTAGGCTTAGCGTCGCCCGTGGCAAGCGTTTCAGGGCAGGGGACGTTCGCCCTGAGATCCCCCCCGCGGGGATCCCCAATCTGTGGGGAGGGAGCAACACCAGCTCTACTCCTGGCCCCAGCTGCCAGCCCCATGCCCGGGGCCCTGCTCTTGGCGTGAGCCCACGCCCAGGGTCCCGGATGCCAGCCCCACATCACGAGACTCTTTGCTCCGGGCCCCAGCTGCCCGTCGCATTCCCAGAGCTCTTCTGGTTTGACCCTGCACCTGTGTCCCAGCTGCCAGCCCCACACCTGGGGCTCTGCTCCCAGCCCCACAGGCTGGCCCCGTGACCAGGGCACCATGCTTGCCCCGAACTGTGGCCCCAGTCTTGCCCCCCTTACCTCTGTCTGTGTCCCTGCTCCTGAAGGTGCAGCCCTGGCTCCAGACGGTGGAGGGCGGCATGGACAGAGGTAAGGGGTGCGTGAGGTAAAGAGTTTGGGGGAAGGTAACTCTAGTCGCCCCCCAACGCGGGGCTGGCGAGTAGCTGCTGCAGGAGCCCAACCTCACGGCTTTATGCTGGTGGGGAACTGCCCTCCCCCAAGGGAATTCTCTGCCAGCCAGCATCCTTCCCCTTTCTGCAGAGCACACGGGGGGTGGGGTGGAGCCCAACCGAGAATCTGGCCCTTTCGCTGTTTTCCCAGCAGCTGCTCGGGGGGCTGCATTCTCTGTGCTTCGCTCTAGGTCTCTGCCTTGGGCAGCGCGGGGGGAGCCGAGAATCTGATCGTGCTGGAGCGGGAGAAGTACCGGCCCCACGACGTTGGCTCAGTCCGATGGGCCGGGAGCACGTTCGGCCCCATGCAGAAGAGCCGCCTGGGAGAGCATGAATTCGAGGCGCTCATGAGAATGCTGGACAACCTGGTGAGTCTCCAGCTGGGTTAGCCGGAGCCAGTCATTCTCCGCGCTCCCTCCTGGGCCCCTGAGCTCCCGGGGTCTGGGCCAACCTGCTGAAGGCAGCCAGCCAGAGACCGGAAGGGCTGCGGGAGAGCCCCAGGTACTGCGTGCTAGGCCTGCCGAGCAGTGAACAGATCGCGGCTGTTGGAACGAAGCATTTCTCTGAAGTCTCTTCCCTCTTGATCCCCCCTGGATTTTTCCACCCCCTGAGCGGAATGAATTTTGTTCTGTGCACCGATGTGGCGCGGACGTGAGGCACAGAGGTGACGTGCAACACATCGCCCTCATGCTGGTGCATATAACGATTCATGGGGGGAGGGGTTCTGAGTGGCGGAGGGCCCAGGGCTGGGGTGCAGGAGGGGGAGGTTTCCAGATGGGATGTGGGCTCTAGGTGGGGCTGAGGTTGAGGGGCTCAGAGCAGGGGCAGAGGGTTGAGGTGGAAGGAGGCTGGCTGGGGATGAGGGATTTGGTGTGCAGGAGGGAGGCTCCAGGTTGGGGAGGGCTCCAGCGCTGGGGGTTGGGGTATAAGAGGGGCACAGGCTCTGCACAGGGGGAGGGGGAGCTCAAGGTGGGGTGAGTGGCTGGTGCTCAGATTTACCTGAGCGGCTCCCTGCTGGGGATGGTGAGCAGGGGCCCCTTTCCTGTGCCAGGCAGCTCCATGCTGGGGCCAGCGCGGAGAGACTCCCCACTGCCAGCCCTGGTAGCTTCAGGCCGGGGGGGGGGGGACCCCGCCCCACTGCAGCCTTGAGCCCAACGCAGGACTAACTGGGAAGCAGGGTGGCTGCACAGCCAGGGGGGGGCTGAGGTGCTGAGCCAGAGCCCCAGCGTGGCGCTAGGTCGTGCCGTGCGCAAAGAATAGTGCGGCTGACACAGGGCGTGTCTACACTGCAAGTGGGCACCCGCAGCCGGCCCGGCCACCGGCTCCGGGGCTGTTGAATCGCTGCCTGGGGCTCCCAGCCTCCCCCGGCCCATGCTCTGCGGCCTCCTCACCCCATTTCCGGCTCCAGCCTGAAGGTCTGCGCCGTGGACTGGGGCTTCTGTGCCCTTTCCCCAAGCTACATGGGAAGAACCAGACCCTTGGGGTGAGTGTCTGCCCAGCAGCCAGGGCAGCAGCCAGGGCAGGGGCGTGCTCTGCAGCCCAGGCATGTGGGCCCGTGCTAGCTGCAATACAGCTTCCTAAAAGCAGCAAGGAGGTGGCAATCAGCTGTGCAAGCTTCCTGCCCCCCTCCCCCGCAAACACACACATTGTTAGCCTGGGTGCTGAACCCTCACTGCTACTTCTACCAAGCCCAGGTAGGTCAGCGCAAGCTGCAGATCACATCTCTGGCTGCAATGTAAACAGAGCGGCAACGTCTCCTGTGCTGCGTCCCAGACCAAACACACCCGGGGCTTTCCTATTAAGGAATCGGCCCGGAAACCTCAGGCATGCCAGCCAAACAGGCTGCAAATCAGTTCTATAGCATCAGGAGGGCTTCCAGCCTCTGAAGGAGCCCGT